AAGATCCAGGTCTATAGAGCCTGTGTCCTAAGCACACTCCTGTACTGCAGTGAGTCCTGGACCCTTTGTGCACGGCAGGAGAGGAAGCTGAATACGTTCTATATGCGTTGCCTCCGACGGATTTTTGGTATCAAAGTTCCAAACAGAGTAGTCCTAGAATGAGCTGGAATTTTCAGCATGAATACATTACTGAAACAGCGACTACTACGTTGGCTTGGGCAGGTCGTGAGAATGGCTGAAGGTCGGATTCCAAAAGATCTCCTGTATGGAGAATTAGTGCAGCACCCCAGCCCCAGAGGGAGACCGCAGCTGCGATACATCTGCAAGCGAGATCTGAAGGCTTTAGGAATAGACCTCAACAGATGGGAAACCCTGACATCTGAGCGTTCATCCTGGAGGCAGGTGGTGCATCATGGCCTCTCCCAATTTGAAAAGACCCTTGCCCAGCAGGCCGAGGCAAAGAGGAAGTCACAAAAGCAGCAAAACCAGGGAGCAGGACAGGGGACAGATTGGATTTTGGCCTGGCCTTCTCAGCCACACTAGACGCTGTTCCAAGTCCTCCATGAAGAGCACGTTACCATAGTCTTTCGAGACTGAAGGATGCCTAACTAACTAACCACACACTAAACCAGAGAGTTCTGAAGACTGAAGGATGCCTAACTAACTAACCACACACTAAACCAGAACACAGAGTTCTGAGTCCTGTCCTCTGAAGATGCTGGCCACAGAGACTAGTGAAACGTTAGGAAGAAAAACACTCAGAACATGGCCAAACAGCCCGAAAAACCTACAACAACCATTTTATTGGTTTCTTTGCCATTTCTGTTCGCCCCTATGAAAACAGCTGCACGATTCCCCCTATCCTGAATACCCCTGGGCTTTCCAAATACTGTAGCAGAAGTGACTAGCTTATCAACAGAATCACACTGATCCCAGACAATAACGAGATGGGTAGGGCTCCGATAAAAGTTGAGCCCTATTTACTTCTGACCTAGCTAACAATTGTCATTATATCTGTGAATGATGCCTTGCTGGGTCAAGACATCTAAATGGTTAAAAAGAAAAAGATTTTTTTTAAAAAAAACCCTACTGTACCTTGTGTGTGCCTCTTTGTGTTTCTGTTCAATAAGCTCGGCAAACAAGGGATCACACAGCTTCTTCAGGTTATCACCTATAAAAATATATAAAATCATAAAAATCATAAAATCATAAAAATTACAACTACTTTTTTAAAAAAAAACTGTCATTATATCTGTGAATGATGCCTTGCTGGGTCAAGACATCTAAATGGTTAAAAAGAAAAAGATTTTTTTTAAAAAAAACCCTACTGTACCTTGTGTGTGCCTCTTTGTGTTTCTGTTCAATAAGCTCGGCAAACAAGGGATCACACAGCTTCTTCAGGTTATCACCTGCAGTTTGGAGCCTAGCCCAGATTTCTTCATTATTCTCTGCTTTATCTTGAAGAGACTGTGAAATGAAATGCCACAGGGTTAGTTGCGAATCTGAAGTCTTTTGAGAAGGTGGTTATTGATACCTGCCCTTACCCAAGTACCATTTGCAACTGTTCTCACGGAAATGCACGGATCTGTGGCCAGTGCGCCACCAGCAAACCTATTTTTCAAGGCTGTAGGGGATGTGGGATCTCCAAGAATTTCTACTGGCTCTGGGTAAAGGTCTAAACTGGCAAGAGTCCTCCTGTAGGTTTAGGAGTGTGGGGAGAACTGCTGAACTTTGTGCTCAGCCTCAGAAATAGGTAGCATTCTGAAAAGTTACTTTTGGGGACAACAGCTCCCCAAATCCCACAGGCAGTGGCTTTAACTAGCCAGGGAAGTCTGGTAGTCTGAAGAATCAACACTTCTTACAACGATCCTTACCGGGGTTTCCTAAGTATGGAGTACTCAGAAATAATTTACCACTGCTGCCTTCTGGGGGCAGCCTGGGGCTTGCCCAAGGCCATATATATACATATATA